CCACCATCCTCTCCATGGAGAAAGGATGGGGCCATCTGCTTCTGTAAAGATTACCGCTGTGCAGACCTCTGGGACAGCTCCGCTCTGTCCTGTAGGGTTGGCAAGAGGCAGTATCACCACCATTGACCGTGGCGTGGGGAGAGATGGGGGTCTGTGCACTGGTGACTTTACACCCTGGTTTCTACACATGCCTTCTACATTTTACAGTTGACAAATTGAGCTCTCAGTGTTAGGTGCCATCAAGTTGATTTTGACTCTATAGTGACCCACGTGACGGAGTAGAACTACCGTTGGATTGACTAGGCTGTAATCTTCATGGAATCAGATTCCCAGGGTTTTCTCCTCGGGAGCCTCTGGTGGGTTTGAACTGCTAACCATTCTGTTAGTGGCTGAACACTGAGCCGTTAGCACCACTGAAAACTCAACACTCAATGCCGTTGAATCAAAACTGACTCAGGTCCACCACTGGGTTTCCAGGCCTGTAAGCTCAGGAGATTGCCTGTCTTTATCCCTGTGAGATGCTGGTGGATTCTAACTGCCTGCCTTTGGGTGGATGGCGCAGCTCCTTACCCACTGGGCCACCAGAGCTCCCTGGCTGAACAGCAGTGGGTTTCAAATATAGCTTCCTACTAGTTGAGAGGCGTTTGTTCATTTGGGAACCTTCATGAATATGGTCTCTCAACAACCTCAAGCGTCGGTATCCAGGCTTCTTTCTGCATGAGTTGAGAAGGCAGATAGTAAATGTGGATCAATAAAACAAACAGACCTGCACAAACAATGTAGCCAGGCTAACAGGAGCGCCGTTTTTCAGGAGAATGTATGCTTTGGTGATGAACAGCTTGTTTGTTAGAGAGCACATCACACTGTCACCTCGTCCTTCATCCCAGGCAGGATTGGAGCGGGCCAGTGGTTTCCAGGGCGAGGCTGACAGTGCAGCAGGTTTGCAGGTTCCTGGGGTGAGGCTGTGGCAGTGAAATACCTTATTAAGTAAAGAAAACTGGTGCCACTTCCCAGAAGACTCACACCGATTTTGTTTCCTTGGCTGCAGTAGTTCCCAAAGCAGGTCACCAGGGCTTTCTTCCGCCTTGCTGCTGGCTGGGTTTAAACAGGAGCACTGCTGATGACAAACAGCTTGCACCCCCAGGGGTCATGGTCTTGTGACTGTCCTGAACGACTGGAAAAATACATATGTCTTCAATGGTGGTTGTGTTGTTATATGCTGGTAGACAGCTGTCTGCACCCAGGAGATTAGAATTTGAATGTGGCTTTATCTTTCTTCAGGAAATGAAGTTGCTCCTGCCTAGAGGAGATAGGACCAGCTGCCTGGAGGGAAGGGACAGTGAAGGTCACTTTGTCCTGGGCCCTCTGGACCTTTCGTCAGAGCCCGACTCTCTCTGTGCCTTGTGACTTAGTGATGGACTCTGGGGCGTTTTATGATGATGGACAGGACGGCGTCCAGGGCCAGCCCTCGCATGGGTGGTGTTCTTGAGGGGCCGGACATGCTGTTTAACACAGCAGGCGGGGCTGGGGCTGGGGCTGGGCCAGGCTGAGGGGCCGGCATTCAGATGGGGCCCAGCCATGTGTCTGTTGTTGAAAGATCCCTAGTAATATAATGGGTTAAGTATTGCACTGCTAATGACTGGTTGCACCCACCAACCTGTCTGCAGGAAAAAGATGGGCATTCTCCCCCTGTTCAGATTTACGGCCAGAAACCTGACGGGCCAGCTCTCTGTCTGTCCCACAGGGCTGCCGTGAGTCTGACCCCATTGTGGTTGGTTGTGTTTGGTTTTGATGGTGGCAGTGTGGCTGCATGCTGGCGAGGTGATTCTGACTCACAGTCATGTGACAGGGCCGTGGCGTCTCCTGGATGGTGGTCTTCCTGCAGGTAGATTGCCAGGCGTTTCTTGCTCAGAGTTGCTGATGGATTTGGCCTGCCATCGTTGGTCCTAGCAGCTGAGTGCTTAACCACTGCACTAGCAGGGGTCCTTGAATATCCTGTGGGTAAACTGAGGCATGCAGATGATGCTTCTGGGTGCTTACCACTGCACTGCCGGGCTTCCTCGCCTGTCCTGTGGGGTACACTCATGCATGCACATGATGCTCTGTGGCAACTGAGGTCTTCTTAATTAGGAGAGGAGACAAGGGAATTAGATGTACATCAATTCAGAGACTGATACTGAAACGGCCGCAGATCCCAGGGTGGTTCATTGGGCTTCTCCCTGAAACTCTCTTTTGCTTCCCAGCTCACATCTTCACTTTGTGGTAGGAAGTAACCCCAGCAACCTCTCTAAAGTGCTGAAGTGCAAAGATGTCAATCTGGAGACTAAGGTGTGCCTGATACAGGTCATGGTCTTTGCAGTCACTTGTTATGAATCAGAGAGTTGGACAATGACTGGGGTGATAGAAAGAGAATTGTTGCCTTTGAGCTGTGGTGCTGGAGAAGAGTATTGAATGTACCGTGGACAACGAACTAAGAAAACAAACAGGTTCGTCCTGGAGAGGGTGAAGCTGGGCTGCTCCTTAGAGGCGAGGATTCTGAAGCTTCGTCTGACATACCTTGGACATGTTGCACGGAGAAACCAGTCCTTGGAGAGGGATGTCATGCTTGGGAGGGTGGAGGGACAGTGCAGGAGAGGAAGACCTTCGATGAGATGGATCGAGTCAGTGACTGGGTTAATGGGGGTAGGTGTGTCGGAGATGGTGAGATTGGCACAGGATAGGTCAACGTTTAGGGCTGTCGTACCTAGGGTCACTGAGAGTCGCAGGTGACTCGACAGCATGTAAGAACAACAAACAACAACCCCAGAGACCAGGCCCACTGTCACTGAATTGAATCCAGCTCACGGCAACCCTGGAGGATGGAGCAGAACTGCCCAGGTTTCCACAGCTCTGAAGCTTTGCACATGGAACTGGGTGGTGCAGGGTATTAGGAGAAGGGCAGCTAACTGAAGGGTTGGTGGTTTGAACCCACCAGCAGCTCTGCTGGGGGAAGATGTGACGGTCTCTTCTCATTAAGATTTGTTGCCTTGGAAAACCGATGGAGGGTCTGAGTAGGCTGCATGGCAGTGAGCTTGACCTTCCAGAACCAGACAGACATGTCTTTTCCTGCAGACTGGGTGGTCAAGCACAGTGGTGTTTGGGTTAGCAGACCAGTGCTTAATCCACTGTGGCACCAGGGCTCCTTCTGACTTGAAATTGATTGAAAAAGGAGGGGGAAAGTCAGACGTTTCTTTCATTTTTAAATACTTGAGCAGAGCAGTGACTGGAACCTTCTTTTTATTTCTTCCCTACAATGCCAAGCATTGAACTCATTACCTCTGTAATAAAGAGCAGATGATTGATGTCTGTGTATGATTTTTCTCTGTTCCGTCTGGCGCGTGTGCGGGCAGGACTTTATCAGCAGCAGCCCAGCTTGTCCACAAGGCTGTGCGTTTCCACTCCGTTTAGTCACTTGGAAAGCAGACGTTCAGGGCAGGACTCAGTGTGGGCCTGCTTTCTCATGTGATACGCGTGACTTCAGAGTGCTTTTTCAGAGACTCCATTTCAGAAAGAGTTCGCGAAGTAGTGGAGAAGGCAGGAAAATTAGCCTTCAATTTCACTGATGCACGTTTTTTTAAAAAGTATTGTATTTTTAGGGCGTTATGTTTATCGTAGGAGTACGCAATGAGGGTTGCAGAGTGGATTATATTTGGGGTTGGGGGTGTGGTTGGGGGAGGTGCGGGGAGGGATTGTGTACCAATGAGGGAGTTTTTCTTTTGCTTTTCAAGGAGAGGAGCAAACGGGAGTGGGGGGTGGGGTGGGCGGGGAGAAGGGTGCAACAATGAATGAATGGAATTAAAAAAAAAGCCAAGAGTGAAATTATTTCATTATTATTTAAAATATCTATTCTGAATATAAATTAAATATTCAATGGGGAAAAAGATGTTTTTTTAGTATCTTGTGTTAAATGGAGATGGAACAATGTCATGAATCTTGATTTCGGGTGGCAGCTCCATCAGCCATTAACCGGTGGTTTTCATTGACCTTCCCTTGTCTCCCCTTCAGAGATCCCCTGCTGTAGGAATTATAGTGTGTTACACTCAGTTACTAACTAAAAGGTTAGCAGTTCAAATCCACCACCTGCAGCATGGGTGGAAGAAGGGCAGTTCCTTCCGTGTCTCAGTGTCCGAATCCTGATGGAAGGTGATGCACATGTCAGATCGACTCTGCAGCGGTGGGGGCGGGGGGTGCAGGCATAGGGTGGCACAGTGAGTTAAGCATGAAGCTTCTAAATGAAATGTCAGCAGTTCAGACCTTGCTCTTTGGAGACAGACAGGGCAGTTTGCTCCTGTACAGGGTCACAACCTCAGAAATCCCGGGAGGCAGTTCCCCAGTGTCTTGGAGCGTCACTCAGACAGAATGCACTGCACAGCAGTGGGTTGGGTTTGGGAGCCTCTGGGCGGTACAGATGGCTAATGTACCCAGGTGTCACCTGAAAGGTTAGAGGTCAGAGTGCTACCAGAGAGACCTGGGAGTGAAGAAAGCTCTGGTAGTCCATTTCTGGAAAGAATTAAACCGCCAGCCAAGTGCTGAAAGCCCTGTGGCGTTCAGTGCTGTTCCGACACACAAGGGGGTGCCATGAGCAGGAGGCGCCTCGCAGCCCCCGGCTTCGTAGTGAGAGGCATGTGCCTGACGCACTGCTCAGACAGGGAACCACTCGTGCTTCCACCTTGATCTGAAGGTTATCGCTGTACGTCTACTGAGGGGCCTTCGTGGGCTGGACAGCTGGGCATCGGACCAGACAGAGGGTCATCGGCCGTAGTGGTCAGGCTGCTGGTAAGGCCAGGACTGGAGAGTCTGAGAACTTACTAACAAGCTGAGTTAGGCAGTTGCCTGAGCTTCGACTGCTGAAAAGGTGGGGCCCCTGCACGAGGCGATGTGTGCTGGGCTGGAGTGTGTGCCTGTGTTGTTTTCACTGTGAGTCACCAACTTTGCCTCTCTTTTGTTTCCCTCCAACCCAGGGAGAAGAGGCGCAGTGGGCAGAGGAGAGTGGTGTGCTCCAGAGCTCCTGGAGGAAAGAAGGCAGCGAGCGAAGAGCCATGATAACGCCCGCGCTCCGGGAGGCTCTTACTAAACAAGGTGAGCGTCCTCACTCATTCCAGCTCAACGCCGGTGAGGACGAAGCTGACACCGAGCCCACTGCAGTCGAACCAGTTCAGACTCTGATGACCCGGCCTCCGCTTTCCTTGGCTGTACATCTGAATGGGGGGTAACTGCCCATCTTTCTCCGGCTGGTGGATTCGAACCGCCAGGCTTTGGGTTAGCATCCCAACACATTACACATTACACCACCAGGGCTTCCATTAATGAAGGGAGCATAGATGAGGCTTGTGAGGATGGCAGCACTCCTTTCTGTGGTCCGTCAGGGAAGCTGGCTCAGCAACCCCGAACAAGAGGAGAAGGAAAACGGGTCCATGGTGGCCCATTGGGTAAGCACTGGGCTGCTCGTGAGAGGATGCTATTGGAGCCCACCCAGCAGCTCCTCCAGGGAACGACCTAGCCGCCTGCTCCAGTAACCATATCAGCCTGTCGTCTGGTGTTAGCATGAGTCAGGATGGACAGATGGGCAGCCGGCAGCATCCTGTGTGTCGTTGGCTCAGCGCCTGGTCCAGTGACGGACGGAGTTCCCAGGTGTCTGCTGCCTGCACCTGGAAATCGTCTGTCTTCTTGGTCCATCGGGCGTTAGCAGTAGTGAAGCTCAAGTGTGCAAATGGGAAGTACTGTGACTGTTTGCTTTATGTTCCTGTCACTCTGTGTTAAGAGAAAACTACTAATGCCAAAATAGCTTGTAGGGTAATAAACCGTTTGGTGTTGAGCTGATTCCGACTCAGAGCTGACCCTCCAGTGGGATGTCGGGGGCTGTAAGTGGTGTGAGAGGGGAGTGCCCACCTTTCTTCCATGGAGCCAATGGTCGATGCAGCCACTAGAGAGAGAGGGGTGGCCTTGGGTGAGAAGTCTGTCTCCCAGTGGACTTTGCTCCCAGAGCTCCACATTTCCCTAGGTGTCAGAATTCTTAGTACTTACTTTCTGGTTGTTCCACTTTTATTAATCTAGCTTCCCTGCCAACCTCTCCCCCAGACCATCTCATCTTTGGTTTAGGGAAAATGTTAACGATTCAGTTTCACAGATGATTTTGAAAAAGAACTCAGTACTCACTGCCTGTCTGTGATTTGGCTAAAGGATGATGTCCACGATGTTCTTTGTGCTGTGTTTAACGCTGTCGGAGGATGACAGTCTCAGGGTATCCTCTGGCCTCTTAACAGCCCACTTATTAAGTCTGGTCTTTTTAAAGAAGCTTTGAGTTTTGTTCTGCATTTCTCTGCCCTTCTATCTAAGACCTCTGCTGTGTTCCTGGTCAGAATCGTCAGTGATGAGAGCTGGGAATCCCCTGGTTCTTCTGGTCTCAGAGTTGATGAGGCCGTAGTGTTTTTCCTTCCCAGGGTGCTATCCCCCAGGAAGGTTAGGGAGCACACACGAGGTCTCTGTGAGTTGGGGTCCGTCTGAGGGCTGCGTTGGCTTCTGGGTTCTGATAGGCTTCAGTCGTCTGCCAGTAGTTTTCTGTTTGTCTCCCTGTTCTTTGAGTTCCCCACCCCCCAGTTCCTCAGTCTTCTTTTAGACTTCCTGAATTATCAGGTGGTTCTGTTTGCTGGCCTTTGTGACTCACCATCTGACTCCCTCACAGTTGGGTGATTGCACCGTGTTCTGTGCTGGATCTCTCCACTGCTTCATGGTTCCGAGGGGTTGTTCAGCACTTGACGCATCGTAGAATCTCACGGTCACACACTGCTGTTTTTCTCCTCTCAACTTGTGCACAGTTGTTAAGACATTTTGCTTTTAAGTATTTATAAACCCTGTACTCCGTTATTATTATATCTGTTTAAGCAGCCAATTAGGTATTAAATGCTTAAGTCATTCTAGAAGAATCTGAAATCTTTACCCACATAGTTATAATTTTGGTGCTTTTCATTTCTTTGTGGAGATCCATATTCTATCTGGTATCTTTTCCTTCTGCCTAAAAGATTTCTTTTACCATTTCTGTGTCAAGAGCTGGGGATGTAATTCATAGGGGTTGTGACGCCAACCCAAAGGGGGTGTGTGTGTGTGTGATGGGTTTGTTGGTAATGCATTCTTTCAGCTCTTATGTTTCTTTCATTTAATTTCATTCCAGCTTTTGTATTTTTGAGAAAGACTTTGTTTTTAAAAAATACTTTGCTGATGAGAATGTGCATAGTAAGACATCACCAGCTCTCCACCTTGTCTGTGCGTCGGTTCAGTGACATCGATTACGACCTTGGAGCCCTCTGTCTTTGTTCTCACTCTGCTTTCTTTTTTTAAATTTATTTTATTTTTTTCCCTCTGCTTTCTGAGTTGCTCCTCCTTCGTTAGCATAATCTGACTGTCTTCCAAGGTTCCGAGATAACCGCTTTCTGGTTCTCATCAGTTTTGTCCTTTATATGTAGTTCATAAAAGAGCATCCTAAAAAAAGATGGACTTCAACGTCAAGCAGATGGATTGACTCAGTGAGTGTAGCAACGGGCTCATATGTGTTAGAGATTGTGAAAGGACACAGGACAGGACACAGGTCAGATCTGCTGTTCACAGGGTCACTGTCAGTGATACTAGCCTCAGTCAGTGGTTCCCAACATTAGTAACAATGGAGAGACGATGAGATGAAGGGGATAAAATCCTAGATCAATAGTAATTCATTGTATAAAACACAGTGTTTAAAATTTGATTTCTGAAACCATGTACATGAGAGAAACAGTGTATATAAAAAGTACAGAATATAAAAACAAAACACAACACACATAAAAGACAGACTTTGTTTACTCATTAAAGGAAATAGTTGTTTGGTTTTAAGAAGACCTTAGAATATTTTTGGTGTAAGGTGTACAGATGATCTCAGGGCAGTAGTTTTGAGGGCTCACCCCGCCTCGGGGGCTCGAGGAAGTCTGGATCCCATGTCTGCTTCAGTTTTGAAAGGTGTGCTTTGCTGGGTGTGGAACTGCAGGTGGACACCCTTTCCCCTTTGCCAGCTCTGAGGACACTTCTCTGCTGGCTCCCGCCTGTGCTGCTGCTTCTGCTGAGAACTCAGTGCCCCGCCTCCTGTCTGTTCCTTTGTCACTTTTTCCACCTCTAGTTACTCTTAAAATTTTCTTTCTTTAATACTGGTTTTGAGAAGTTTAATAATAAAGAATTTTGGTATTATTTTTTCTCATGCTTTTTGAACTTGAGTTTCTGGTACTTGTGGATATATTAAACTTTTTAAAAAGAAAATTTGGACAAATTTTGGCCATTATTGCTTCAAACAAGGAGCCTTTATGGAGTGATTTAGTACTTTGTTGCTCACCAAAAGCTTGGTGGTTTGTACCCACCTTGCTGTGTGTGGGAAAGGCCTGCGATGTGCTTCTGGGAAGATTCTCAGCCTAGGGGGTCCTACGGGGCTGAACTCTGCCCTGAAGGCTTCCTGTGAGCTGGGCTTGACTTGAGCGCACCTACCAAAGAACAAGCTGCTTTGCTTCAAACACCTTCTCTGTTACCCTTTATCTCCTCTTCCTCAGAGACTCTGATTACGTATTAACACACAGTGAGAGCCCCTGTGAGCTGGAATCAGCCTGATGGCTAGTAACTAGCGATACTGAACATCTCTCATGGCTTGTTGGCCATTAAGACTTCTCTTTGTGGTGAACTTGCCGTTCATGTTCTGTACCCTTTAAAAAAAATGGGTTGGTCTTTCTGTTGTTAAGATGTAGAACTCTTAGATAGTAAATATTTATTGGATAACAGTTGCTCCATGGGACAAAGATGACGGACTCATCATGTGTGATTTACAGCCCCTGAAAAACCCCCCGGAGGGAGGGCCAGCTGTGAGTTGCTTCCGAATCAAAGGCAATGAGTGAGTTTTATAGGACATCCTGTTGTCTTGAAAATGTTCTCCCAACTGTAGCTTGTCTGGTCACCTTTTTAAAGTTTGTTTTCAACAAAGTGCTTTGTTGAACGTCTTTGGCTGCCTCCGCCTTGTTTGTTGGGGATCTTTCAAATGCTTATTATCTGTATCTGACACCAGCTTTTCAGGTGGATCCTAGCCTGTCTTCAGGTAACTAAGCAGTGCTTTCGAGAAAAGACAGGAGCCCTGTAACGTTGCCACTGTTGTTGTTGTTAGGTGCCATCAAGTCGTAGACGGCTCAAAGTGACCCTATGAACGAAAGACCTGAGCACTGTTCATAGAGTTTCTGGAGGCAAGCTATTCTGGAAGCGGATGCCACTCCTGCTTCCAAGCTTGTTTTAATTGGGGAGCTCCACCAAACGCTGTCCACCCTGGGTGACCATTATCGCATTTGGCACATCAGTGTCACAGTGTTTAGCATCACAGCAACCACGAGTTACCCCTGTACAGCAAATGGACAGACCAGTGCTGTAATTGTAATCTGGGTTGACACTATTCCATTAATCATCACACTGTGACTGGGAGTTCTTGGCAGCCCCTGATCCTCTTACATCCTCATCCCACCCGGATCCTCTTACATCCTCATCCCACCTGGTGTCTCCTTCTGCCTCATTGGTCTGGCACGAGTCTTTTCTGTGCAGAGACGCCTGCTGATTTGTGGTTTATCACTTGAGGCTGCCTGAGAAACTATTAAATGCTTCCTGAAATCAGAGCATTCTTCCTGTGAGCTCTGCTACTTTGTTACAAATGGAAGTGAGGTAGTGACCCTGACCTGCCTTCTTCCATGCTTCTCACATCTTTTGTGGCTCCACATATTTTTAAAAAAATTAACTCATTTTTTTTCAGCGGAAGTTGACATATCATGTTAGTTTTTCATCCAACCATTCATATACATTTTCTTTGTAAAAGTAATTATAGTTGATTAATGTACTTATTTAGCTGCAATGTCTCATTAGCCCTTGTTGTAATGTGCCTTTCCCATCACTCAGTTTATTTATTTTAATGCTCCTCTCCATCCAGTCCCATCCCTTATAAACATCCGAGAAGGATTCTCTGTGTGTAAACATTTCCTTAGCTTTTTATAATAGTGGCCTTATACCACACTTGTCCTATTGGGATTGACTTATGTCACTCAGCATACTTTCCTCTAGATTTGCCCGTGTTGTGCCATGTGTAACAAGTTTCTTAGTGATGCCACTTGCTTTTGCCATTCTTATAAATCCTCCAGGAGCTCATGGGGCGTGTTGAGTTCTGTTGTTGGGCGGGGCGCTGGGCCTCTGTGCTGGGCCGGGCCTGAGTGAGCTGTGAGGTGCTGAGGGAGTAGAGCCACCTCCGGTGACTTCCGATCAGCTCTTGTGTCTGTGCGTCTGAGTCCATGTTGGTAGAAGCATACGCATTTTCAGTTGTTTTCTCAGCCAGTGAACGACGTGTAGTGTTATCTGTCAGGGGGTGGTTGACTGCCATTGTGTAAGCAGAGAAGAGTGATGATGTTAAAGTTCTAAAGTGACCTTCCGCTGTGAAGCTTTGAAAGGCCCTGTGCTGGTGTAGTGTAGTATGGGTGTATTGCTAACCAGAGCTCATTGGTTTGAATCCACCAGCTGCTCTATGGGGGAGGGAGGGGCAGTCCCCCATAAAGATTTAAAGCCTTGAAAACCAGAAGGGTGG